GAGAGAGAGAGAGAGAGAGAGAGAGAGAGAGACCAACCTTCGTGACCATACAAGACTGCCAGACCGAGTGGTGTATTGCCCGCTCTGTCCACGGGGTCGACGGGCACAGCCGAGCGGCGCAACAAATGCATACACGATATGGTGGCCCCGCGTTGGGCCGCGTAATGCAAAACAGTGGACCCAAACTCGTCGGCCGCCTCGCAGGGCATGGGTTGACCGGTTGGGTGATCCACATCTGCCGGGTCCAGGAGTTCAACCAAATCGATTGGATCCATGAATGCCCGGTCCGTATGGGCGCCTATTTTCACAAAAGCGTAGTGTAGGGCCGCCCGACCCCTGTTGTCCAATATGTCCGTACGGGCGCCGGCGGCCAACAGGCGCTCCTCGAAGTCAAACGTGTCGTCAGTGCCGCCGCGACGACAGTTCACCGCCAGGTGTAGGGCTGTTCGGCCTGTTGTAGGGGTGGGCACAGGTATGGCATGTGTTAATAATCAAAGTTTTTGAATTGTTTTAAAAGCAATTTTTCAGACCATCTTTGTTGACGGCATTCACGTCCACCCCATCGGCGGTCAACACCCGGAGGTTGCGGAGGTATTGGGGCAGGAGGCAGTGGGCGCGCCGGTTGTTTACGTCATGTCATAGCAGGCTCGCCACCTGGACAAGCCACTGCAGCCGCGGGAAGAGGTGTTTGTTGCCATGGTTAAGAAACGACTTCTTCGCGTGCACTATAAACAGGCACTGATTCTCGTCGTCCACCGACCGGAACTTGACGTCAGCGCCGGCGGCGATCAGCTTACGAGCCGTCGACTCGTGGCCGCCCGTTATGACTACAGCCAACGGTGTCCGCCAAGTGTTGTCCAGCTGTTCCAACAGCGGCTTCCGGGCCATCAACTCATCCAAGATCTCTGGCAAACAGCCGGACCTGACGGCCATATGCAGGGCGTAGTCAATGTGTTTGGGATCGGACCAATCGGTGGGCGCGTCGACGTCTGAGCCGAGTGTGTCCAGCAATAGGCGTAAAAAGTCCAACAATTTGTTCGTGTAATCCGCGCCGCAACTAATGGACGAGTATTTCTCGAGAAACGCGTGGAGTGGCCGCCGGTGCGACTTATTCCCTGTGGCGGCCATTGTCTTGAGCGCCAACTCGTGCCGTACGCTACCCGTGGCCAACGATCGCAGATACCAGGCCAGCGTCTGGTAGCCACCAATCGTCACGTCTTTGGCCGCGTGAGCGACCATATGGTGGAGGAATGTGTCGCCAGTGGTCGGGTCGGCAGCGGTGGCCGATAGCGGACAGTCTTTGACCGATAGTATGCGCTCCAGCGCTAGGAAAGCGCCCGACTGTGCGGCCAAAGTGAACGCCGACTGTTGCTGTTTGTTGATGGCGTGCGGATCGCACCCGCGGCTCACCAACTGAGCCATCGCTTTCAGCACGACGTCCCGCTGTTTGGCCAGTTTCTGGTGGACAACACACCCGACGATTGTATTAATTCATTGTAATTAGTTTTATAGGCCTAAAAAGGTTTTAAGTGTATGGGAAATGAGTGGTAAAAACAAACTATAATCACCTTTTTCTCTTCGTCGGTGGTCGGCTCCGAGTGGACAGACATACTGTCCTCTTCCACTTCCTCCTCGTCCTCATCATCAGCCTCTTCGGCGTCACTCTCGACGTCCATCTCTTCGCCATTTTCTGACTGTTTGAAAGAGTGGTAACAAAACGGAGCAAACATTTTAGACAATGGGTAATACACACAGAAGTGAATTCATACTTACAGTAGTTTTGGCCACTTTGACGGCCTTAACGGCGAGGGGTTTCCGATTGACGGGTGGCGGCGACTTATACCGAAACGTCTGGGCCTCGTTACGTACCAAATAGTGTAACTATAGGAACATAACGTGTTAATTAGCAAATGTTATATGATCATTTATGAGTAATGGCAGTGAATCACTACTCACACAATTGTCGCCCTCGTAGTCGGTTTTGGTACAGTCGGCCCCTCTGTCTATCAGGAACTTCATCCGATCCAACAGTTGTTGATTGGGTGCCGAACCGCACGTTTGCATCAATAGATTCGCACCTATAGTCCCGGGTATGAAATTTACATTAATTAAAATTATTATACAGTATTTGTTGTGTATGTTTGATAGAGAGAATGTCAGGTGATTATTATGGCTATAGACCTATGGTGTGAATAGCAATGCAATTGTAATCAGAAATTGTGTGTAAAATCAATGGTTTAATTTACACGTGTTCAATCAAGTCTCTATTAGAGACTTGGAGTAGAAAAGCCAATTGTCATACACAACATTAAAATTATGTTTTAAAGTTTGGATTAAAAATTATTAATCATTCAAATAAATGAACATATTATACACATAGGGTATAAAATTTATACAATGCAACTTTTATTGTAAATTAATTGTGAACAATTTTTCTCTCTAATGAAATTGCTTAAAAATGACAAAACTGGTAATACATGTAATGTATTGGCACAAAAACATTAAGATCACGTTTGAAAATATGGTCATCAAATATGATTGAGTCAAATCGTTGATAATCGCAAACAATATCACAAATCTTATTAAATTGTGTATTCAATAATTAAATAAGTTTGCGCATCTGTGGGATAGCGGGCAATCAGGATTTATCGTGATAGAATAAAAGTACACTCAATAAGTAGTCGAGTTATATACTTCATATGTCCAGATCTGGTCGTAGTGACCACATTTATCGGTCAAATTTTAAAAATCAAATATTTTATTTTATAAAGAACCATGTCATATTATATATCAATAGAAAGGTATAAATGAGTAGAATCGAAATCTGAAGGAACCTCTCAAATCTGACATAACCGATAAAAGTTATATCAAAATTTAAAAATTTAGTATCAGTTATGTACGTTTTTTATAGTGAATAACGTAATTACTGAACATCAGTTATATCAATTTTAATTATGCTTACAATGAATAACGTTTGTGGATAAACTGAAAGCCAACCACTATAAAAATGGGTGAGAAACATTTAGGTTGACCTTCACGTGGTGTTGTTGCTTAATACTGACAAACCTAAACCTTTGTACTGACCGTTGCGCCACCTTTTTATGCCATACTGTGAATCTGTACCTGTGATATACTAAAAACACATTGGACAGGCTTAATATAGAGTTTTAAGAGATTGTAAATTTTGATTAAAACTGCCTACAAATGTAATTATCTGAAGGGCGAGATCTCATTTCCTACCTTCTCTATTGTGCGCCAAACCAACAGCACTGGTAGTCCCCGTTAGAAACCGCTAGACAAGAACAGCAGACAGACCGCGGGGCGGAAACCGCTAGACAAGGACCGCAGACAGACCGCTATTTAGAGATTGCAAGAGACGGAGAGAGAGAGAGCGGACAAAATAAACGCACCGGTAGTATCGTTAACAGGCATATCAATATTAGCGCCGGACTCCTTGACCACCTCCTCGGCCAAACCCGTGTGACCCTTCATAAAGGCGATGCACAACGGAGTCATTTTCCAGTCATTGCACTCATTGAGGGGCGCGTCGGCCTCCCGGAGCAGTTTGAAACAGTAATACCAGCCGTAGGCACACGCGTAGTGAACCAGACTATTGCCGGACGAGTCTTTGGCCGTGTGGTCGGCGCCCAATCGCAACAAATGGCTCACAACATGCGAGTGTCCGTTCATCACGGCGTGGGTCAGCGCCGTACGGCACCTCTTGTCGCGGGCGTCCGCCTGAGCGCCGTATTCGGTGAGCAGTTTCACTACCGACAGTCGGCCGGACTCGGCGGCCACCATCAGCGCCGACAGTTTGTCCTTAACAGCGGTGGTGCGGCGCTCGATGTCGGCCCCGCCCCGGATCAGCGCCTTACAGGCGTCCGTATTGCCGCACTGGGCCGCCCAGTGTAGTGGCGTATAGCCAGCCTTGTTATACCGTTCCAGCGTTGATTGGCTGGCCGTTGCCGTACCGATCGGCACCTTTTTCTTGCCCTTGGCTTTGGCGGCGGTGTTGGTGTCCGGTGTGTCGGCGATGGTAGTGGCGGCGCTGTTGGCCGCGACACTGGTCTCGTGTTTGATGATGACCTCGACATTTCGCGGGCGGTTACGAGACGCGGCCAAGTGTAGGGGTGTGTTGCCGTCCTTTTCCACCATCACAGTGGACACGCCGTTTGATAGCAGATACTCCAGATTGCCAGGTGCTGGTCATACCATGGTTAAAATAAAAAGTAAATTAATAATATAATAATTTGGTTGCAATACTGTATTGTTTATATAAGATAGTGGTGAAGAGGGGGTGGGTGTAGGGGGCCAGGGAGGGGACGGGTAGTCAGAATTTTGAGTGTAAGATCACTGTTCAAAGAACTCATATGAGGTCTGTAGCGAAATAACTCCGATATCATCACCAAAAACAAGACAATTGGTTAATCAATGGCTAACATACTGTAATAGCACAGGTATTGAGACAAGTGGTTATTGTATATCACTATACCTTCGCAAACGGCCGCGTAGTGGACAGGCGTCCAGTTCTGAGTGTCGGGTGCGGAGAAGTCCGGCTGCTGTGCCAACAGGGCCTGCATATGACGGCTATCGGGGTTAATAGCGGCGCAATGCAACGGTGTAATCCTCGAGTTGCCGGTGGCCTTCTTCAGCACCGATACCGACCGGAATTGTGGCAACTGTTTATCATTGGACAGCACCGCCCGGTGCAGCTCATTGAAGCCGAACCCTCCCTTCTGGATACCCTTGTCGACGATATAGTGGGCCAGACGGTAGTGGCCGTACCGCACGGCTGTCACCACGTGGTCCAGGAAACGGTAGATCAGGTCGGGCTCGCCGTCCGGTGGGGTTATGAGTTTGTCCAGTGTTGCCGGCGGTACACTGTATTCGATGGCTTGTTGGACACGGCTGTCATCGAGATATGTAGAGTAGGTCCGGTAACTGTAGCCGGTGTACCTCCAGCTGTCCTTCAGTAGCGCGTTATTGCCTATGGATTAAAACAATGGATCAAATCAGGTGATAGTCTGAACATGAATGGGGAGGGGGTAGAGGGGAATGGCCAGGAATCGGCTGAACATCAGAGATAGAGTGTAAGATCACTGTCCAAGAACTCATATGAGGTCTGTAGCGGTTATACTCATTATCATCACCAAAACTATATCTCCAAACATATAATAATAGTAACACAATGTGTTTAATTAGTTACCTTCCCGTCCGCCGCGGCCAACGTTCACCGATCGAAGCGCGTGACCAAACATATAGCGCGAGCCGTGTCCGGTGCCCTCATCGCTGAGCATAATATCGGGAAACGGGGCCAAAGTGTCGCCCACTTTGGCTGTCATCAACTTCTTGACGGCCACGAAGTCGTTCAACTCGATGGCGTAGGACAGGGCGTCCCGTTGGACGGCCACCGATCGCGGCACAGCCAGACCGCAGATCAGCTTCTTATCGCCCGACAGCAGCTGATCCAGCAGTCGGTGGTCACGCAATAGTACTGCGCGTGTGATGAGAGCCGAGTGCGCCAGCGATGACACGTACGGCACCGGCAGTCGGGACTCAAACAACGGGTCCGTCTCGTAGTGAGTGACCTGTGGTTTGGGATTCAGTTGCGGACCCTTTTTGCGAGACTTTTTCGCCGGTGTTGTCACCGATGGATCAGTTGGCGTTGTCTTCGACTTTCTGGTACTCTTTTTGGTAGCAGCGGTGGTATCAGCTGTGGTCGTGTCCGCCGATCCCTTGGTTCGCTTACCAGCGCTGGCTTTTGCTTTACTGATCACTTTATCGGCCTTTTTAACTAGACAGTAATGAAATTATAATTAACATAAATCACCATGGTGGTGTGGGGGGAGTTAGGGGTCAGGGAGTGGGCTAGTAGTCAGCTATTGTGAGTGTAAAATCACTGGTCAAAGAACTCATATGAGGTCTGTAGCGGTTATACTCAATATCATCACTCAATAAAACCATGTTATTATATGCAACACATATTTGGTTAACATAGAGGTTATGGCACAGAGTATTTCAGAGTAGGGGTACGGATGCCACACACATACCTGTGCCGCCAGTGGTTTTAGTCTTTGAAGGTTTGTCCGACTTCTTGGCCAAACTCTTAGCATTAGCCGCGAGTGTACTGTCAATCATACGGCGCTCGTCTTCGGCCAACTCGTACTGCTCTTTGGCCAGTCGTCGGACCGTAATGTCCGTCAGTATGCACTCGGGATCAGTCGTGTCGTAAAAGTCGGGCGTATAGACCAGCGGCCGACTCGTGTCGGCGTTGTTGTACCACAAGATCTTGAACTTCGGCGACAGTTTGAACACATTCTGTTTGGCCCGACATATATAGTAACCGCCGGAGTCGTTGCGCACCGCCAGGAACTCGTTCTTCTTGTATATCATCTCGTTGTCCGCCACCGACTTCGAGGACGCCTTCTTCGCCGGTGACTTACCCGCCGGCGATCGCCGTTTGGGTGCGGGAGTCGTGTCCGCCGACACGTCAAACGGCTGGTACGGCAGTCGCCGCCGTTTCGACGCCCGGCCAACCGGTGTTGCCGTCGGTGGCGAACCGTTCGTCTGATCGGTCGCCCGGCGTTTGGGGGCCGGCGTTGAGGCCTTTGCCGGCAGTTTGCGTTTGGCTGTTGTACGCGGTGTTGGCACTGGTGTCGGGGCCGGGCTTTTGGTGGTCACTTTGGTACCGGATGTGCCATTCGCTTAATCAATTGATATACAATTTAATTATAGTTAAGATTCATAATTATCTAAATTATTGATCGGGATAAATATTTATTAAATCAGATTTAAGGTTTAAATCAACGACAATGTTCAGTGCGTATATTCTAAGTCATCATGATATAAAATGTGGTGTAAAAGGGGGTGCGGGGGAGGTATGTATGGTGAGAGGTCTGTATTACAACATTAACATTTAATTGGCAAATGTCATAAATCATTTGGTTCACCTATTATAACTATGTAAGTTACGTACCAGTGGTTAACTTTGTTGATGTTCCCGCAACTGCGGCCCTCGTGGCCAAAGTCCGTAGAGACCGGGCCTTAAGCGCCGATCCATTGGTAGTGACCGTTACGGCTCGACTAGTGTCCAATCGTCGCGGCCGAGTGGCCATCGCCCGGACAACGGTAACAGTAGGCGTGGTTTTACTTGTGGTCACTTTAGGAGCGCCGGCGGCGGTGGTCGTTATGCCCACATTCCGAGGGCCGTTCGATGTGGTGGTTTTGGTCACCCTTATAGTCGACCTCATTGTTGATTATAATTAATATAATTAATATTTATAACAATAATAGCAATAAATATCGTATTAATGCATGTATGGAGTCATGTATCACCAAAAACCAAAATGATAAGTTATGTCAGAAAATTCTAAAGTGTCAATGTTATTTATATGTACCATGTTACATGGTTAAATGACTGAATGAATTGCATCAAAATTAAATATTTCAATTACATTAATTGAATGAAATGGTATTGAGTACTGACTAAATACAGTGTTTTATTACAACCAAACATGTAATCAATGTTTTTTATCAATAATAATGTTATAGTAATAGCGCTGACAATAATGCACTGTATATTATTAGCAAGAATATATAGTATAGCAACTTATTTCACGAATATCATTTGATGCAATGCCTACATGATCAAGGTCTTAAGCGTGTAAGCAACCTTGGTGATTGTGTTATGGTTAAAGATCGTGATGAATTTTAATTATACACTTACTGGACATGCTTTACGACCGTAACGTTACGTCTCGTTGAGATTATTTGCCTATTTTTAGGCATAATTTTGATCTCAAAATGTGTTTAACAAATATTGTCTTATTTTTTTGTGGTTAGTTTTTGTTCGTCAAAGAGTTGGTTCTTTGGGTGATAATTGGGATCAAATTGTGTGATCACTTAACAGGCCATTAGTCTTCAAAAACATTGCCTGAAATCAATATTTAAATTCATTAATGATTTTATTTTTATGAGTTTCGCTAACTTTGTGTTAACTAAAAACGAGAAATAGATTTTTGTATCAAACAATTGAAACAAACTTATTATAGCTCTCTCTCTCTTTCACTCTCAAAGATCATTAATAAAAAATTACAATTAAAAAAATAAAACTTAATTATAAACAAAAAACACACCGTGGTGAAAATGAACCGGTGCTACTTATACCAGTGCTATAGCACTTTAACCTTGATAAATCTATAAACAACACACCTAAACAAACACACTGTACCGCACGTACAGAATGCCCATTGAAAATGAATGGCAAAACACGCATGTTATTTAGCTATGGGTAGTGAGAGAAATGTAGCATCATTGTAAATTACTTACACGTTATACACCGGGATAGATTCTAATTATCGGGGATTAAAATGAACTAGTTGTAATTAAAATAAAATGTGCCAACATAAAACTCATAAATAAAACATTTAAAAAACAAACATACTACATTTTATACAGAGACAATAAAAACCATTTAGGACTAGATGTGTGTTTCACTACACAAACGCAATGTGCCATTCATTTGTATGGGGAATGCGAGTGAAACACACAGGCATTGAACATTTTACTGTCCTGCCACACACAGTAAATGTAAAATGATCATGATTGCAAACTGCATTATAATTAGTGTACAGAGTTATTTGTTTAAACAAATTAAACCAAATAAAACACACGAAATTGAAAAATTATACAATTTGGTTTTATTGATAAAACCAAATAAACCCAAATTTTGGTTGTTATTAAGGTGTAA